TTAATTTGAGGGAACTTAGCCAGTATTTTTGTGAAGGAAAGGGCTAAGTGTGCGCTGTTTGCTGACTTCTGCTTAAGATTAGAAAAGGTAAATTGAAAAAGAAAGGAGATAATGCTGCGAGAGGAAAAACAGACACAAAAGAAAAATGTATTTATTTGATACTTGGCACGTGAGGATAGACGGACTGTTTCGACCCTGTATTAAGTTTGAAAAGAGCGAAATGATTAAAATCAATAAAAGTATCCGCAGAGAAACAAATTTCACCGATCTATTACGCGCTTGCGCTGATAGAAATACTACCTTGCTGTTGTTCGGTGCCTTCTCCTGCGCCCCCTAAAACTGACGTATATTAAAAAACTTACACATAGAGATGGACAAAATATACAGAAAAAAAGCATGTGGCACTCGCCATTTTCGCGGTATCGACTATTCGTAAATTAATGTTTCCATTATAGGTATTCTTGTTCATTCTCAAACCCCAATCGGGGGATGGAGACCAAAATTACTGATAGTCCTCTACACCTTACTTAACGGAGGCGTATCTTATTACATTTTTGTCTCTGAAAGTCTGTTTACTGTAGAATATTTATGAGAAACCAGAATGTTTTTTCTTTCGGTCACCCGAAATGTATTTTAATGTCATCACTTTCTTTTGCAGAATCATGATTTTGGCCAAATTCATTTGCTAAGCAAAACTGTCATGTCGTTCTTTAAAGTCGTTGTATAATTTTGCCTAACCAATTCCAGTCAAAAGCATAACGACGTCATATTTTATGGAGAAAATAATATTTCTGATTATGAATTAATCTGTATGGATTTTAAGTTCATAGGTTGTACTTCACTTTTGTATAAGACATCTATATTCCTCTTCGTTCGCAAACGTGGTTCTGGAGTTTTATTCCGACTCAAAATTCTCTTTTAAAAAGGGGCAACTTTAAATGACAATCGAAAAATTTGCTGTTAAATATATAAATCGATCGTGAGCAAATAGTTCTAGATTCCTTATACAATGCCTTTGCTGTTTAATATCTACTCCGACTGATTCGCTGTATACGAAGAAACATACCAGTTTCTTTGTTTTCCGTTTTCAACAATTTTCATCTTGATAGCATAATTTATAAGAGCTATACGACTTACCTCGTGGGTCCTGTCAGTTGCAGTTCTGTTACTAACATCCCCCGCAAACAAAGCTGACCGTTTTTTACTGAAGCCCAATGGTCACTCCTAAAGGGCGCTGTTGCGTAATTTATTCAATCTGGAACAGTTCGGCAGGTATCATTACACCCTTTGTGGCAACTAATGTACTTCGTATTTCGTATATTATTGCAGCACTTTTCCTACGAGATCTTCAGGCCATCTTAAGTTCAACTAGATGAACTTTCTTTTCAACATTGCATATTAAATTTTTTTTTGTGTATGTGTAAGTGCAATTATATAAAAGTAAGTTTTCAATATCTGTCATTTAAATTGTTGAATTACGTGTGATTTGACGTGACAACCAGCGAAACCTCAAGGTTTTGAATACAGTTTTGAGGGATTATACATGTCAAATATTTCACAGCGCAAAATGGTAAATTTGTTAAACTTTTATCTGTGACATTCTCAAGTGGACATCCGGCCAAGTTTTTTCAAAAAATGACAAGTCAAATCTTTTAACTTGGCCTGAGTAAACGGAAAAGCCCATCATGAATGCGCAAATATTGATTAGTTCCACCAACAGCTTTTATTGGAAGATTTACAATTTTAAGGGTCTGTTCATTTGGGTAAATATTTCGTCGAAATAAGATAAATTTTCATGTTTGACGTTGCAAGAGCAAACACCGAGTTGCATTTGACATCACACAGGCATTTACAGTTCTGTTAATCTTGATGCTTTAACTTGATAATTCTCTTCGAACGAACAGCGTAGATTGGTGTGGATACAAACTTGTCACCAAAGTCGCAAATGCTATATAGATGTGCCATTTCACAAAATTTGGCCAAATTTAGCCTTTAGAAAGAAGAAAAAAGTCGAATGAAACTTAAAACTTACGTTCAGAATCTTTGAAATGGTAAATACAAGGGAGGGCACGCAAAAAAAAAATGGAAATAAGAATTATGAAGCGGATTGCCCTTACGCCTGAATATTTGTAAACTGCACAATTTAAAAAACTACATATGTCTTCGTTAGAATGCATCTACTTGTATGAAAGCGAGAAAACAGTCTTGGACATTTTGCAGGAGGCCACGTACGAAAAAGGAAAGGAAAAATTCTGATATTCTGTTATATCGGATAACAGAGGAGAAATTAAAAGCGTTGCATTTAAAATTTTTCTCTTTGTGTTTCAGTAGATTTGATGTAACCTCTTAAAAAAATGCAACGAAATAACCCAATTTCTTTTGGAAATGTATGAAATGTAATATTTCGTAAAATGAATGGAATAAATTATATATGGTCTGAGAATGATTCATTAAATGACAAACTGAATTTCGCTGGAAAATAACAGTTATCGAAAATTGCAGAAAGAAAAGCCGAAAAGCTCTAGCAGGGTCCGTACCCATGCCTCCACGGTACCACTCGAGACTTCTTGGATGAGAGGCAAAATTGATGTGCAAAGAAAAGTAATTACATCGCAGTTGGCATGGTAACAGGAGGATGACAAATGGCCTCAAATTTTTCACTAAAGTTTAAATGAAAGGGAGCACTCAACTAATGAATGTTATATTTATAGATGAGTTTTAAACGGATGCAATCGAAAGAGGACCCCTTAGCGTGCCATCTTGTATTTGTTCGATTTCAGCTGGTTATTTTGACTTGTGTCATTTGAATTGGATGTTATTCTTCAAAATTCTGTCAAATAATCTTTACCAGTTGACATTACGAGACTGCAACATATGCATCGCCCTTACGCTCGTAATTAGCAAGTGACTCAATTTATCGACCGCTCTCTTCCTAGCTACATAGAATATTTAGGATTTAACTTGATATTTATACTAAGACCCCTGGGAATCTTGACAGATATCTCACTTGCATTCAGTAGTTAATAAGTGCAATCTTTTAAATCTATTGCGCCCTCTCTTTCGTGCTAACTTAGCCTGGGTCGAAAAATGGAGTTGAAAACACTCAACACCCTGTTGCTCAAGTTTTCTATCGTTTATCTCGAATCGAGAGGAAACTTTAAAGCTAAATTGGCTAGCTATCATTCCCGTCTGCTTGGCTTTAATCATAAATTTTAGTTGCTGATGCATGAAATTAATAAAATCAATACATTTCTTTGCTTTGCATTAATTATTGAATAACAACATGAACTTTCCAGAGAACCAGATCAATCCTTACACTGAACACTTCTGTCTCGCTCGCTTCATTACTCTGCGTATCAAATATCACTTTATAAAAGATGTACATTTACATTTTTCCTCTTTTTTCTTACTGATAACCTCTCAAACATTTACTGTAAACGCTATCACCTGCCCATCGTACTGTTTTGTCCAATATTATTATGTTGGATGGCCTGTGTTATATTTATCTCCGATTTCAAGCGTACAATCATATCAATACTTTGCATCAGAGACATTTTTCACAATCATCCACAATTATTTATTTCTTTTTCAGTGTAAGGCATGAATTTAGCAATTCTTCTTAAAGTCAGATTTCCCTGGGCTCATCAAGAGAAAATTAATTCAGTTTTTACATTCCCTAATGGCTAAATGAAAAGGATTGCGAGCATCAATTTCCGCTGCTTATTAGAGTTTACAGCTACCTGAAAAAATATTGCATCCTTAGCCACCATTTAAGGGTTTGAGATAAAATATACCACATAAATTTACGTAGGTTGTTGTTCGACATGGTAAAAAAGGGTAAAGCATCATCATTATCGGGCTTATTGATAGACAGCTATCTCCGAAAAAGGTTCTTCTAAATGCATCAGATGTGACTCAACCTAAGGTTGAAAAAAGTGTGTCCGAGAGACAATCTCCATAAAAAAGAAATTGTTTTGATCACATGTTATTACTTATATTGGATGAAATGAAATTTCATTATCAGTCATTTCCACCGTTCGAGAACGGGAAGTTAAAGAAAGGGGTTTCACTTATAGCTCTTACGACTTTCAGGATTACTTGAGTTTACAAGTTAATTTCCAAATCAAACAAATGATAAAATTTAAGCACAACTTATGCATAGGGACTGTTTAACACCATGAAGATTTATGTTGCCATAAGTAGTATTAGTTTTGAGCAAACATGACAAAGGCTTCCATAGGAACAAAAAACGCGTTTCCGAAACACTTGTTCATATACAATTACAGCTGAAGAGGAACCTTTGAGTGAACGTTATTATTATCATCTCTTTTCATCCTCGGGTTATTTGACAGCCAAGAAACTACGTACTTTGCGACTCCCACGAAAAATTGTAAAGGCGTCGTGTTTCCGAAAGGCTCCACTCTTGTACAGAGTCAATGCCTGCCTTCGGGCGGCCAAAATAATTGAAATAAGAAATTGAAGTGCCCATTATTTGTTTGCGCCAGCTGCTAAGGGACATGATCTATTGTTAGGTATAAAAACTTGATGTAAAAAGGTGGGTCACAAAACTTTTACACATATGTTGCTGCTTATGAAAGGTTGATTCTCGGTTATGCTTGGTTTTTGCTGACAAAAGAGCAAAGAAGCTAATTCTCAGATACCGTCAGACTGGGATGTGCAAATTGGAAACTTCTAAATGTTCTCAAATATAAAAGAAAACTGTTCTTTGAATTGCTCAGATATGATAAATACAACGTCGAACAACGGTCTATGTCGTCGTTACACCGCGTTTGCAAATGAAGACATTCCGCGGTTATTCATCATCCTCAATTCCGCCGTGAACATCATTTCGATGATGGTATCCATTTTGGCAAATAGCCTGGTAATAGCAGCGGTCTGGAAAACGCCTTCCTTGCGCTACCCTTCAATTTTACTTCTCTGTGGTCTCTCACTATCTGATGTTTTTGTTGGTTTGATCGTGGAGCCATTTTACGTCACCGTGGAATTGTTAAAAATTCATGGTTATCCAAAAGGAGATGATTGTACACTGGAAACGGGATATTTTGTGATTGCATTCCTAGTTTGTGGCGTTTCGTTTGGAAACGTAACTCTTGTAAGTATGGATAGATACATGGCAATCCACTATCCACTGAGGTATGATACTATTGTTACTATTCCGCGGGTATACATTCTCATAATTTCGTGTTGGGTTCTCAGCGCTTTTTGTTCTAGTATTTTGCTATGGAATATGGTCATTTTTCTGTATCTGGTGACAGTTGTTTGCGCAATTCTCCTGATAATGTCAACATTCATCCATATCAAGATCTACCGAATCGTCCGCCGCCATAAAAGTGTGATTCAAGCTCAAGAACAGGCAGTCCACTCGACAAACGCCGAGTTGAATATGGTGCGTTTTAAAAAAACTGCCATGAACACGTTCCTTGTGTACTATTTCTTATTGCTATGTTACCTACCCTTCGCTGTAGCTAGCATTCTACAAATTTTGACTGACGAAAAGACCAATTCACCTATCCTTTGGAAAGTGGCTACCACAACAGGGAATTTAAACTCAGCACTCAATCCGTTTCTTTATTGTTGGCGACTTTCAGCTATGAGAGGTCCGGTCACAGCTTTGCTTAAGAAGATTTTCTGCCCTCTAAAAATCTCCTCATCATGTATCTTTGGCAACTAGACTGCTCATAGGTGTTTCACTTCAAGAAATGGAAAAGGAGAACGATTTCTTGGGACTTCCGACATCAGTCTGTCGAACAATTGGTACATTGGATGCTTTACATCTGAGCAGTTTAAACCCCGTGGCCTTAAGAGGCAAACCGCATTACGTCGAATGCCAAAATTTAAAAGTTGATTTGATGCTCTCGAGCACTGATGGAAACTTATGATAATACAAGATTCACTTGAATCGAAAAACTCGAATCCCCAAGAGAAAGTGAATTATCCAATGGCCTGGCCATTGCAAACTTTAAGACTAATATGGTTTGTAAAAACGAGTCAACTATACCTCAAATTTGTATCAAAAGTATTTTATTCCTAAACGCCATTCGTTCAGTTCTACGAAATAAAGGTTTTCCAAGCACACATGATGATTTGTCACGGATGTCTTGCCTTGCCCTTTTTACCTCGACCTTTGACGAGAAAAGCAAATTATTTGAATTTGCAAGATAATGTTGGATAATCATGTGAAAATTAAAGGCCGGAACATATTATTGTCATTAATCAAGAAATGATGGATGGTTTAAATCAACTGATATTAATGAAGATAACTAGGAGTTCTTCCGTTTTTTTCTTTGATAATACTAAAAAGATAAAAGAAAGTTCCAATGATAAAAATTCAAAGCATTGCTCTCCAAAACCATAAGCTAAACTTCTGCTTCAACAGACTTGTTGAGGTTAACACTAAGAAATTCCTAGAAGTGGCTCTCTATTTACAACCACGCAAGGGTACACTTCCAAGGGAAACCAATAATATTTCTTACAATCAAAAACGTTAATTTCCTGCTCCGGAAGCATAATAAAAGTTTTTTTCTCAATAATATTTCTTGTTCTTATGCGACACTTGAAAGTCAAATAAGGCCAAATTGGAGTTTCGATCAGACGCATTCTCAGTTGTTCCGATTGCAAATAAAAGGGTATCACAGTGACATTTACACGAAGCATTTCCACTTTTTCTTCATTCGGTCACATACTTCACATACATCAAAACATAGAGATAAAAACGAGTCAGCCCTAAGATCGTACCGTTATGAGCTGATGATAATGAGACAATTTCAACTGTTTTTGCAAAAAAAGGTCAGATTAATATATTTTCAAAGCAGGAGTCATAGTTTGAGAGTTGAATAGTCACTGAGCTAAAGAAGGCTAAGGGTAACTAGGACTTCAAATGGGAACATCGAGTCTATGAGACGCATTTAGGCGACGAGGGAAAATTCAGATATTGGCTCATTAAATTCAAATCCAGAAGAATGCGTTTTATGGCTATGCAACTGCAAACTTTTGAGTTAACGCTCTCTTGAAAAGATGATTGATGCGCAATAAATTTCGGTTAGCACCAGAAAAAAGCCACAATTCCAAGCCTACCTGACGCAAGAAATGTTCCCATGGTAACAGAGTGCTTCATTTTCAACAATCATTCACAATTGTTTTTTTCCATTTGATCTTTCATGGAGGAAATTGTCTGATGCAACGTACGGGACATTTTCACTAAGTGCAAATTAATGGCTGATGAAAAATTTAATTTCCCTCCAAGACAACAATCTGAAGATCCCCGATCGCATTCACGAGAACTTAAGAGAAAAATATTTCAAATTTTCAGAAGTTTCAAAATTAGCTACAGGATTAATCGTTCTTTCAAGCCTTTAAACGTTTGGCATGGTGCTTTGGATCACTAAAGGAAAGTTATCGCCAAAACTTGCTAAGCCTTTTTAAGTTTTTATAAAATACTGTTAAGAGCAGCTATATTTCTTCACCCAAGTGCGAAAGACACATATGGCAAACTAGTGATGATTCAAGCACTGTGCTTACAAGACACTTAAGTTTTCGCAAAGTCGATGTTACGATCTTTGATCCAACACATAATCGTAGAAGTCGTAATACCAAAAATTTCCCAGATAAAAAGAGAGTACGAGTCAATCGTTATTCACCAAGAACATCAAATTCACAAAAATATAATGCGTCAAACTCGAGGTTCTTGTTGAGAAAACTGAATTATCATAGCAGGATAATTGAAAATTCTGCCTAAAAGGGCCAGTTTTGTGGTTGTAAGTCAGCCGATATGTGACATACTGTCAAATGATCAACGACTAGGTTTACACAAGCTCCTCAAGCAATAAATCTGATTTGCTGTTCTATCATCATTATGATAAACGGCATCGATGGTCGAGTCTCTTTAACCGACAAAGATTACGCTTCCCCCGCTTTTGGAACGAGGAAAGTTCTTGGAGATACAGGACCAAAAGATATGTCGTCATTACACAATTCATTTTCAGTTATTGAGTATTTCAAAATTTTTTTTGAAACACCCATGATAAGATAAGAGTGAAAGCTCTTACTTAAACTGCTCTGGAATTACAAACGCTACGTTCAGGAACGGATTATGCCATCGCTACACTGCATTCGAAAATGAAAACGTTCCATGGCTCTTCATTGTTCTAAACTCCATGGTGAACATCATTTTAATAATAGTATCGATCTTAGCAAACACTTTGATGATAACAGTAGTGTAGAAAACGAGTTCCTTGCGGTACCCTTCAATTTTACTTCTCCGTGGTCTCGCCGTCTCTGATTTTGCTGTTGGTTTAATTGTTGAACCTTTTTTCATCACCATAGAGTTGTTAAAAGTGTATGGATATCCAAAAAGTTATTGCCGGCTTGAAACGACGTTTTTCATTATTGCGATTGTACTTTGTGGAGTTTCGTTTGCAAATGTAACGCTCACAAGCTTGGATAGGTACTTTGCGATTCAGTTTCCTCTAAGATACGGCGCCATCGTTAATATTCCGCGTGTTTATACTCTTATCGTTTTTTGTTGGGTTGGAAGCATCCTTTGTTCGACTCTATTGCTGTGGAATGTGACAGCATTTCTTATGCAGTTGCAGTTGTAATAGCAGTGTTTATTAGTACGTGTTCAATAATCTACATCAAAATCTACCGAGTCGTTCTCCGCCACAGAAGTGAAATTTAAGCTCAAGAACCAGTAGTTCATGTGGCAAAAGAATTAAACATGACACGATATAAAAAGTGCTGCATAAACTCGTTCCTTGTTTACTTTTTCCTGCTATTATGTTATATGCTCTTCTCCACAGCTTGGATTTTCAATGATATTAACTCACCGATCCTTTGGAAACTGGCAAATACAGCATCGTATCTTAACTCAGCTCTGAACCCATTTCTTTATTGTTGGCGACTCCCTGTCATGCGTGAACCGGTCATGATTTCATTAAGAAGACTTATTCGCCCAAACTAAGACGTCCACTGTATAAGGGTACCATAGAAACGGATGTACCTTTGTGATATATTCATTTGTCACGTCGACGATTTTTTTTTTACCCTAGTGAAATTCATGAATATCAAATATGTCATGATTCCAGATTGAAACAGCTTTTTTCGCGCTTACGTTGGTAGACTTCCAAAATTATGTTTCTCTTTGTTTGGTTTGTGTCATGAACACGCAAAGCTGATGAAAACGCAGCTTCGCCTTAAGCGTGAAGATGGGAGCAAATTTATCTGCTAAGTGAGAAGGCTACCTCTATAGTTTCTCAGATGATCTCCCGCTTGATATACTTTTAACTCTCTAAAAGCCCTCTCTTAGAGAGAAGGGTATTGCTTTGCAGAACTTCCCAACTAGGGGAGAGGTCTTAAAAAAGAGAGAGGACTAAATAAACATTCACCGAGAGGTGCAATTTGAGAAATTGCTTTCATCGTCAGCTCTCGCCGAATAATAACGGATACCGGCTTGAGAATGCATTTCTTTAATTGCGGAAAGTCTTTCATATGTAGCACGAATACTACTACAAAATTTTAATGCAAAGAATATTCCGAAATGCACGCCAAATTAGTCCGCATGCATAACAAAATCATGGTGTAAACTTTTAAACAACATTACCGTTACATTATTATCGCGCGATGTGTCTTTATTTTAGAGTTTTTGTTTCGGGGAGGGGAGAGGAATGGCGTATTAAAGAAAGGCTGAATATAACGTGTTTAGATCTCACGATGTTCGCAGCTGTGCCATAAACATTTAATGTAGTTTTCCCACGCGTCGACTGTTCTTGGTCAAACTGATCTTCATTCGGGCTTTTGGACAACACCGACACCAAGCTCGAGGAACAGACAAACAAATCCTATCATCATTAGAACCACCCAGCCTCGTATACGTAGTAACAAGTGAAATTCGAGTATTTAATTGTTTAGGTAAATTATGAATGATAACTTTTCCTTAGAAAACTCAGGGATCGTAAACATGACAGTGCTAAACAACGATCTGCGCCGAAATTTAGTCGAGTACTGCATGGTTCATGAAAACGTTCCACACCTCTTCATGGTCCTCAATTTCACCGTCAACATCATTCTAATGATAATATCAATCCTAACGAACATCTTGGTGATAACAGCAGTGTGGAAAACGCCATCCTTGCGCTACCCGTCAATTTTATTACTTTGTGGTCTTACATTGTCTGATGCTACCGTTGGTTTGGTTGTGGAGCCCTTATTTATTGCCGTGGAACTGTTTTTACTTCTTGGTTATTAGGATACCGATGTTTGTAAGCTAACAACGGCATTTGTTTTCAGTGCATATTTTGTTTGTGGAGTTTCCATTTTAAATGTCCTACTAACTAACGTAGATAGATTCTTAGCGATTCACTATCCACTGAGGTATGACACTATCGTAACTGTCCCTCGTGTTTTTTCCCTCATAATTTCGTGTTGGCTTATAAGTGCTTTAGGTGCGACTTTATGGTTATGGCATGAAACGGCATTTGAGTATGTGGCTAATGCTTTCATGATAGCGTTTGTCAGCACATCAACAGTCATCCAAATTATGATCTACCGAGTAGTTCGCCGACACAGAAGAGAAATCCACGCTCAAGAAGAGGCAATACGCATAAAACATCATTTCAATATGAGACACTTCATAAAAGTTGCATGAATACAATCTTTGTGTACTATCTCTTAATATTCTGTTACTTGCCCTTTCTCGTAGCTAAGACTGTGTACTCTGTTTCAAAGGGGAATATTAGTTCACCGATAGTTTGGAAACTGGCGCACACAGCAGTATTCTTAAACTCAGCTCTAAATCCTTTCCTTTACCGCTGGCGACTCCAAGCTATTCGGAATCCTGTCAAGCTTTTACTCAGAAAGATTCTCTGCCCCAACAGAGTCGCTTCGGCTTTAAACCGTAGTGTATAGCAGGTTAAAACCATTTGATACTGTAAGACTTTGTTTTATTCAACTTGATCTCATCACTAACATTTCCTCATTTATTGAGGGTTTCTTGGGAAGCTGTCAAAAGGCGATCCCTTTCCTTGAAACGTCACTGAAAGATAGAGATCCTTGCCTATTTCATCTCAAATAGATTTAAATGTAATTGTTCGAAATGCTTTTTGTTAGATGCAATCGCATGAATTTGTTAAAATGCATAGGTGCTCATTTGCATCAACTTGCTCTGGGGCGTAAAACGAGAACTAAGACAGAAGTCCTATTTTACGGCTGTTAAAAAAGTTAAGACATAAAACAAATGATATAAGTAGCCATATAGAGAGAGACTCGTGACAATGTAAAAACATCGATAGGTTACAAACCATTTTGATCTCTAATATCGGCGAATTCTCAAAACAAATATGTCTGTTATATAAATTTAGACACGAAATAAGTGACATTAGCCGTATGAAAAAAGATTCGTGCTATTAATTAATGCTATGCAAACTAATAAAATCAAGAAATAAAGCCTTCAAAAAGTATATTTGGTGTCGGAGCCTTTGTCTATCACGACGAAATTTACATGAATGTCGGAAAGGAAAAGAATACAATCCCAGCTTGAAACGGCTCTTTCTCTCACATGCGTTGACTGTTCGATATGCTTTTAATCGCATATGACGGCGTAAATTCATTAGAATAGCATCGTTGTTTTGCTGGCATCAAGCATCTCTTGCTTTGGGGCGTCAGGGGAAAAGAGAGCTGTTCTTAAGACAAGAATGACTGTATTTCTTATGTCGGCTGATTCCCAGAACAAATACGACTGCTACATAAATTTAGACATGAAGTAAAATACCTCTAGCAAGGAAGCCCACAAACCGTGTAATTGGTTTCGCGGCCTTTTTCTATCACAGCGAAATTATAAATGTTAGAAAGGAAACGAATACGATCCCAGCTTGAAACACCTTTTCTTTCGCGCTTTCTTAACACGTTCCTTGTGTACTATGTCGTAATACTGTGTTACTTGCCGTATTTCATCGCTTGTATTTTGAGCTCTAAAGACAATAACGCTATTTCGCCGCTGGTCTGGAAACTGGTGCTAACAGCAGTGTTTTTAAACTCAGCTCTGAATCCTTTCCTTTACTGCTGGCGACTCCCAGCTATAAGAGGTCCCGTTATGCTTTTAGTCAGGAAGATTATCTGCCTCAAGGAAGTCAACTCGGGGTAAAACTGAGGTATATAACCAAAGAAGATATTCTGCAAACTCCAAGCAACGGTTTTTAATCACTAAATTCAGAAAAAAAAAAATAAGGTTATTAGGGCGCGTTTGTAATTATCTCAGTCAGAAAAATGAAAGGGCTAGACAAAGTCTAGAGCACTTACATACAAGTATTTGTCTCTTAATACGATACTAGAAAATCTTTGACTCTTCTGTATTAGTAGTTTGAAATTTAGTTAACCAATTTCCCTACCAAAATGTTGAAAAAAATTTAAAAGTCAAATCATGCATTGAATATATGCATGCACTGATAAAAGGAAAAACATTTTTTATAATCATCCTTTGAGTGGCGAGTCATACAGAAGCTTACCAAAATCTATTTTCGTTTTATTGATTACATCACACTTCCTTTTTACTAGGAGGAGATCTTCCTTATTACAGGGTAACTGAACATACACAAGTCCTTGCTCATGTAATCTCAAACACATTTTAAAGACTGAGTAAGGTAGAATGTGTTTTCAAGCATCAGCATTAGTTCATCAGAGATGCATTGCTTTTCATTTCGCATCGTGCGTGTCATGATTTCGGGCTTGAAAAGAAGACCACTTTTTGTGACAGAAAACTTAAATTTGCTGATTCCTATGAAAGATTTGTGTACCATAGATTTGGTATTTGGTAAACATTTTTAACTTAGCCACTGAAAAATCATTTTTAATGAAAGTTCGTCAGTTTAACGATACTATACTGGTCTTAACGTACTATATGTACTATTAACTAAAAGTGCTCTAGAGTATTAGCACACCGATTACTCTGAAAATAAAAAAGTTTTATATAAAGAAGTGCAAAATCTATCACAATAAAGAAACGGTAGTTTGATTAGAATTTTTCAAATCATTGGTGCAAAAATCTAGCTTTGATCCTCACTTTAAGATAAGAGAGGGTGTGGTCCTTTCAAAGTGGTTTTGCTACGTTTAATCGATAAACTGCATATTTGCATAGTTTACAATCACGACCGGCTTTAGAAGTCCAAAGTATTCTCTTTCATCTCAACTCTCAACTCTCAGCTCTCTTTTTCGGAGCCTGGGTACGACATTTCGGTGAGCTACTGCTTGGTTATCTTTGCCAACCCACTCGTGGAATTAAAAATTTGATCATATTTGATGTTTTTCCATCGTAAGATCTGCCAACTAGCTTTGTTACCTTTCCCTCCAGGCTTTGACATATCAAACTTTTACAACACCTTTCAAGATTGTATCACTTTGCGATAAAACCTTTCGCTTTCAATATGACATGTGTTCTAGGTCTATGTAACAATGTAACAGGCTCCGGTCCAGATTTAAACAAAAGGAACTTTCCGAAGTCCCCTCTACGATTCGTTCAAGCTTCTGAATGATACTCGCTGAAAGAACCATTTGCAAGTTTCCTGATGATGTTACAACTGTTCCCGATTAAATGCAAAGGAACATTCTGAAGTCGGCTCTACGATTCGTTCAAGATACTACATTGCGTGAAGAACCGTCAGCAGATTCCTTGATCACCGACCTTTGATTCACAGTACGTAAACCAGTAGATTACATGGAATATTGCAAAAATTAGAGGAAAGGCAACCCGTGAATAGCTCTCCAGTGATTTGTAATTGAACTGGATATAGAACAATTTGGCCTCTTGCACGATAGACTTGTGCATAAGGGTGTGTCCCCTTTCCTCATAACTGCATAACGTTACAGGAAGTTTTACAGTGCTTGAGCTTACAGTTTTTCATCAAAGGCTACCATTTTGTACATACAGTCGAACCTGTATTAAGCAGCATCGTATTAGACTGTATAAAGTGGTCGTTTTTTAAAGTCCCGAATTGTTTTCCCCAAAATCACGGCGATTTCTGACGCAGCTGTGTGTCTGTCATGTTATTTTACAGTTGTAGTGATTACATAAGCGACGTTTTAGGGCAATACTTTGTGTAACGGGGTTCACGTGTCCAGCTCATGGGAACAACACGTGTTTTAAAGTTCGGAATAGAAAATTTGTCTTTTGCGAATGTAGGACTAGAGTTTACTTCAATTTCCACCTCTATTAAGTGGTAGTGATCACCTTTTACTAAATCTCAACGGCCTGTTTTAGTCTCCCACCTGTATTGGACGTTCAATTAAAACGGAATCATTCAAATAAAAATAAAAATGTTTGAAGTTGATTTTAATCAAGTTTCTCTCCTCAAAGTCCGTAAACATTGCCATCATTCGTAGCGGCCCTACATATGCAAACGTTATTAGAGCAACTTATTTGGGAAAATGGCTGAAAGCAAATAACCAAGTTGCTTTTCTGACCCAAAATTCACTCTTAGCATCCATCACTCAATCACTCCTACTATACATTTCTTCTTGCAAGTCCTGTTAACTTAATGGGAAGTTCGCTAGCGTGTAAGACTTTCGCATGTTCAGTTTGAATTCTTGTATGGGGCTAAACTGATAGCTAAGAATTGGCCAAAATTTTCGCGGTCTACTGTGAAATAACGTGTATTTGACCGAGGGCTAAGATCTGGGACCAGAAACTATTACTGATGGATGAAAAATCGATCGAAATTAATACTGAGTGCATAATGTCTCAATCAAGGTTTAAACAAATCTTGTGCATACGAGGCGTTCCAATAAACGTACTTTCGAGGGCGACAAGCTGTCTTACATTTCAATATTTAGAGGTCTTGTTTTTAAACCTTGTTGATCCGAAATTTGAATAGTCGATCACCGAAAAAGAAACCATATTGATGAACTTCAGTCTGGAATGATGGTTTTTAAATGGCCTCTAATTAACATGCCGATTTCTGCTCAGAAAAAGGTTACGTGGTAGATGAAAAGAGAAAAAAAAATGCCTTTGAAGAATGTATCCAAAAAAATTAGGGAAAAAGAAAAGGAAAAAAAAACTCGCTACTGTCTGGAGTTGATCCCTCGACCTTTTGCTAGCGGGGAGAAGCACCAAGTAAGCAAGTGAAGTGGCCAACATTCATTTTGACATTTACGTTTGTTCGTATCGTTTGCAAATGGGTGCTTTAATAATAATAATAATAATAATAATAATAATAAGGATTTATTGACAGTATTTCTACATGGTGGCTCTACATCCGTTTTTTTGTGTCCGGTTTGATGCAGCAATTTTTGGATGAATTGGTAAAATGTCATTACTGCACCACTAGTTTCATTTTTGACCTCCTGATGTTTGCAGCTGTGTCCTAAAGATTTCGTGTTCTTTTCCTACTCGTCGGCTATTGACTTTGTTATTGTTCTGGGACGAAGAAGCGTCAAGACAAGACATGTCAATACAGTCATTGCCAACTACCCATCCCAGATAAGTTTCAATTGAGAAATCACTCTTTCTTATCATAAAACATGATGGAAAACTTCCCCACTAACAACTCCGGTATCGCAAACAAAACGCTTAACGACGGTTTATGTCATCGCTACACCGCATTCGAAAATGAAAACACTCCACATCTCCTCATCGTCCTCAATTCCACTGTGAACATTATCCTAATGATAGTATCGATCACAGCAAACAGCTTGGTGATAGCAGCAGTGTGGAAAACGCCTTCCTTACGGTATCCTTCAAATTTATTTCTTTGTAATCTGGCATTGTCTGATGTTATTGTTGGTTTGATCGTAGAGCCATTTTATCTCACCGTAGAATTGTTAAAAATGCATGGTTACCCAAAAGGGGATGATTGTACATTGGAAACGGCATTTTCAGTGATTGCATTCCTAGTTTGTGGCGTTTCGTTTGGAAACGTGACTCTTGTAAGCATGGATAGATACATGGCAATCCACTATCCACTGAGGTATGACACCATTGTTACTATCCCGCGGGTATACGTTCTCATAATTTCGTGTTGGGTTCTCAACGCTTTTTTTTCTACTATTTTTCCGTGGAATGAAGTCGTTTTTGGGTATATGGTGACAGTTGTTTGCGCAATATTCCTGACAATGTCAACATTTATCCATATCAAGATCTACCGAATCGTCCGCCGCCATAGAGGTGTGATTCAAGCTCAAGAACAGGCAGTCCATTCGACCAACACGGAGTTTAATATGACGGGTTTTAAAAAAACTGCCTTAGACACGTCCATTGTGCTCTTTTTCTTACTGATATGTTACCTGCCTTTCACTGTAGCCTGCATTCTACTAATTTTGACAGACGAGTCACCTATCCTTTGGAGAGTAGCTTCCACAACAGTGTATTTAAACTCAGCACTCAATCCGTTTCTTTATTGTTGGCGACTCTCAGCTTTGAGAGGTCCGGTTATAACTCTGCTTAAGAAGATTTTCTGCCCTTTTACAACCTCCTCATCATGTATTTTTGGCAACTAGACTGCTCATGAATTTAACTGCGGTGTTTAAATTTTAAGCTTTATCTTTGTAAGCTGGAAAAGGTATTTTTAGTTTGTGGAGTTTCGAATTTAAATGTAATATTCACTGATGTGGATAGATTCTCAGAGGTTCATTATCCGCTAAGGCAGGACACCATCGTTACCATCCCACGTGTTTTTTCCCTGATTAATTCGAGTTGGCGTTTGAATACTTTTTTTCGACTTTATTCCTGTGGCATATGACAGCAATTTTATATCTGGAAACAGCTTTAATCGCAACTTTCCTCAGTGCGTCTTCAGCCATCCAGATAAAGGTCTTCCGAATTATCCTTCGCCACAGAAGGGAAATCCAAGCGCAAGCGCAAGAATCAAAGTGCTCTGTGAGCAAATTCGTGAATTGGCACATGATTTTTTGGATTATGTTTAATGTTATTTGGTTTAGGGAATTTTGTGGTTGATTGTAATATCTAGAGTACGAGCAGTAGTTCAGTGTTCGCAGCAAAGAAACAAAGTAACGTTGGGATATGAAGGCATTACAATTGAAATGATCATGCCATTACATTTGACAAGGGTGGATGATGTCATGTGTTTTAAACGTATATCATTTTTGTTTCTGGTTCAAAAGAAAAGGTTGGAAGTAAATGTGGGTGAAAAGTGAAATTTACTCTCTATCATTGTAAATATTAGAAAACCAAGGCAATACTGTCTTAATGAAAACATTAACGATTCCCTCTTTATTAATTAAATGAGACAAACGGGAACGAGTTTTGAGTGATATAACTAAGCCAAGACTGCCACCGTCATTTTGGATCTCCGCCTGGGTAGATTTTAGTCACGTGCTAAGCAACGTATAATCAAGAACAAGATAGAATTTCATTTCAGGCCTATTTATCAATTTTGTGGTGTATAAATTTCGCATTTTAGTACGTAATATTTATTTTGAATCTTCAAATTGTTTTGAAACTTAAAAGAAAATTGTTCTTTAAAAATTCACCGAAAATCGGTAGCTAAAATTGTTTGTTTAGGTGATATTTGATTTTCGTGATAACTTGTAATTTCCTCAGTCGCCGGCTTCTTTTGTTGCTTCACACAGGAAAAACACACGATACGAAACGTAATGATCGATTCTGTCCTCAATCTCACGCCATAACAGAAAAAGCTTTTGAACATCTGTTAACTCCGAGCGCTTCGCAGTAAGTTATATTTTCAATGAATCTTCGGATTTTTTTCAAGTTCAAGGATTGTAAATTACAATTTTATGAAAAACGAAGGTTGTTCTGTTATTTCATTCTGAATCCTCGCATGCCTGCCAGTCGCTGGCGCCGCTTGTTGAAACTAAAAATTATGGCTTTCTTAAATTCAACTTGATTATGTCATAATATTATTTATTCCTTTAGTAGAAGTTTCTTCAATCGATGTAAAAAGAAGATCCCCTATACAATGTTATTGACAAGATATAGATTCTTGCTTATTTGAACTCAAACACATGCGCATACGAATGTTCGATATGCTTTTAATCAAATATGATAGCGTAAATTCACTAGAGTAGCATCGTTGTTTTGCTGGCATCAAGCATCTCTTGCTTTGGGACGTCAAGGGGAAAGAGAACTGTTCTTAAGACAAGAATGACTGTATTTCTTATGTCGGCTGATTCCCAGAAAAATATGTCTGTTACATAAATTTAGACATAAAGTAAACTATAATCAGCAGCTGTTCACCTATAGATTCAGCTTTTTATTCCTTTAGTAAAAAAGTACATTTTTGTCCTAATAGGTCTCCAGAGAAAATAAAGATCTCCTAAGGCTGTAAGAGTGAGTTAAGAACCAAAAAGCTATCTTGAGGGAGAGGGGGAAGTAGAAATAATGAAATGTAGAAATTCCAGATGAGGGGAGGGGGGTTGTTCGAGAGGAGGCCTCATAAAAAACTGTCTTAATTTCAACTGAGAGTCATTGTTTTCCTTCACAAATTTCGGCCAGCTTTAATGAATACCACAAATAATCTGAATATAATTCGTTTGAAGGGCGTACGTTATTTGACACGGACTCTAATACAAGATTTAAAATGTAAACATGGGCTGATCGAGCCAAACCCTAATCTAGGCTGTATGTATCACAATTTTACGGTATAGTGTAAACAGTTAAATAATAATATTACCACTGCTTCATTATCTTTCAATTTTTCAGTTTTTGAGTCTTGCTTGGGGGAGTGGAGAGGGGAGAATTATTTTATAAAAAGGGCTTACTAAAACATTCTAGAACTAACGAACTAATGATGTTCGCAGCTGTGTCATAATGATCTCGTGTCCTTTTCCTACTGAACGTAAGACGAGGCATATCAATACCATCAATACAAAATGCCCATCACGTATTAGTTAAATATTGACAAATCACTCTTTTTTTTGTCATAAAATATGATGGAAAACTTTTTCACGAACAACTCTGGTATCGTAAACAAAACGCTTGACGACGGTTTATGTCATCCCCACATCACATTCGAAAATGAAAACACTCCACATCTTTTCATCGTCCTCAATTCCACCGCGAACATCATCCTGATGATAGTATCGATCATAGCAAACAGCTTGGTGATAGCAGCAGTGTGGAAAACGCCTTCCTTACGGTATCCTTCAATTTTGTTTCTTTGTAATCTGGCATTGTCTGATGTTATTGTTGGTTTGGTGGTAGAGCCTTTATTTATCACGGTGGAATTGTTAAAACTTCATGGTTATCCAAAAGGAGATAATTGTAGGCTGCAGACGGCATTTATCACCATTGGACGTTTAGTTGGAGAGGTTTCGTTTGCGACCGTAACTCTTACAAGCGTGGATAGATTCCTAGCAATTCACTATCCCCTGAGGTACGACACCATCGTCACTAACTCTCGGGCATACTTTATCGTTATTTCGTGTTGGGTCGTCTGTGCTTTTTGTTCTAGTTTGAACCACTGGAGCTGGACGGCATATAGGTGTGTAGTAGTCGTTTTCATGGCAGTGTTTCTCGGTATATCTACAGTCATCCAAATTAAGATCTATCGAATCGTCCGCCGCCACAGAAGAGAAATCCAGGCTCAGGAACAAGCAGTACACATAACACACCATTTCAACTTGGTGCAGTTCACTAAATCATGCGTTAACACGTTCCTTGTGTACTGTGTCGTATCACTGTGTTACTTTCCGTTTTTCATCGTTTGTATTTTGAGCTCTATAGAAGATAAGGTCATTTCGCCGCTAGAGTGGAAACTGGTTCACACAGCTATGTTTCTAAACTCAGCTCTGAATCCGTTCCTTTACTGCTGGCGACTCCCAGCTATAAGAGGTCCCGTTATGCTTTTAGTCAGGAAGATTTTCTGCCCCAAGAAAGTCACCACGGGGTATAACTGACGTATATAACAAGAACTGAAGTATATAACAAGAGAAGATATTCTGCAAACTCCAAGCAACGGTTTTTAATAATTAAATACAGTCGAATTGTATTTTCATGTAAGGTTAAAATCTGTTTGCTCTTCAGTTGAAAACACGGCTTGTATAACGAAAGCACTTTGATATAGGATTAGTTAAACAGAGGTGTTCAGTAAAAGTTAGACCTCACAGTCAAGATTATCAAAAAGCAAAAAAAGGTTATTAGGGCGCGTTTGTAATTATCTCAAATGAATAAAGGGGAAAGTTTCTAAAGAAACTGTGGTGCTGCGTCGGTGGGAGAGTATAGCAGGTAATTTAGTGTTAACAATTGGGTTGAAAACGTAAATTAGCCACCGTAAAGGGTAAAAAAGCTGACGTTTCGAGCGTTAGCCCTTCGTCAATCGCTCTGACGAAGGGCTAACGCTCGAAACGTCAGCTTTTTTACCCTTTACGGTGGCTAATTTACGTTTTCAACCCAATTGTTAACACTAAATTACCTGTAATTATCTCAGTCATAGAAAAATGAAAGGGCCAGAAAAAGTCTAGAGCACTTACATGCTAGTTGTCCCTTAATACGATACTAGAAAATCTCTGACTCTTCTGTATTAGTAATTTGAAATTTATTTCCCTACCAAAATGTTGAAAAAAAAATTTAAAAGTCGAATCATGCATTAAATATATTCATGCACAGATAAAAGGAAAAACATTGTTTATAATTATTCTTTGAGTGGCGAGTCATACAGAAGCTCACCAAAACCTATTTTCGTTTTATTGATTATGTTACACTTCCTTTTTCTTAAGAGGAGATCTTTCTCATTACAGAGTAATTGAACATGTACAAGTCCTTGCTTTTGTAATCTCAAACACATTTTAAAGACTGCGCGAGGTGGAGTTTGTTTTCAAGCATTAGCATAAGTTCATCAGAGATGCATTGCTTTTCATTTCGCATCGTGCGAGTCGTGATTTCGGGCTTGAAAAGAAGACCACTTTTTGTGACAGAATACTTAAATTTGCTGATTCCTACGAAAGATTTGTGTGCCGTAGATTTGGTATTTGGTAAACATTTTTAACTTAGCCACTGAAAAATCATTTTTAATGAAAGTTCGTTAGTTTAATGGTACTATTATCTAATAAAAGCTGAACAAAGAGACAGCGGACTGGGGCTAGATATTGCATTCTTGTGATCTTAACGTCCTATATGTACTATGAACTAAAAGTGCTCTAGAATATTAGCACACCGATTCTACTGAAAATAAAAGGTTTTATATAAAGAAGTGTAAAATCTATCAGAATAAAAAAAGGGTGGCTTGATCAGAATTTTTCGAATCATTGGTGCAAAATCTAGCTTTGATCCTCACTTTAAGATAAGAGAGGGTGTGGTCCTTTCTATGTGGTTTTGCTACGTTTAATCGATAAACTGCATATTTGCATAGTTTACAATCACGACCGGCTTTAGTAGTCCAAAGTTTTCTCTTTCATCTCAAATCTCAACTCTCGGCTCTCTTTTTCGGAGCCTGGGTACGACATTTCGGTGAGCTACTGCTTGGTTATCTTTGCCAACCTACTCGTGGAATTAAATATTTGATCATATTAGTTGTTTTTCCATCGTAAGATCTGCCAACTAGCTTTGTGACCCTTCCCTCCAGGCTTTGACATATCCAACTTTTACAGCACCTTTCAAGATTGCATCACTTTGCGATAAAACCTTCCGCTTTCATTATGACATGCGTTCTAGGTCTATGTAACAACTGGTCCAGATTTAAACAAAAGAAACTTTCCGAAGTCCCTCTACGATTCGTCCAAGCTTCTAGATGATATTCGCTGAAAGAACCATCTGCAAGTTTCCCGATGATGTTACAACTGTTCCCGATTAAAAGAAAGAAACTTTCTGAAGTCGGCTCTACGATTCGTTCAAGATACTACATGATGTTTGCGCGAAGAACCGTCAGCAGATTCCTTGATCACCGACCTTTGATCCACAGTACGTAAACCAGTAGATAACATTGAATATTGCAAAAAGTAGAGGAAAGGCAACCCGTGAATAGCTCTCCAGCGATTTGTAATTGAACTGGATATAGTACAATTTGGCCTCTTGCGCGATAGACTTGCGCCTAAGGGTGTGTCCCCTCTCCTCATTACTGCGTAACGTTACAGGAAGTTGTACAGTGCTCGAGCTAGAAAAGCTTCCGTTGACCATTCCTTCTTCAGAGTCTTGAGATTCTACTGGATTGCCAAATTTGACTAGCTTACACGGCTGAAATTAAAAGAAAGGAGAAGAAGAAATGATTAATTCAAAATAACACCATCCTTGGATTAGGCAAGGAAAGGTTCGCTGAAGAAATTACCACCTTAACAATACTGTTATCCAAATCCCCACATAAGTTCTTTCCCATGCTAGTGATTCGTTCTAAATTTAGAACGAATGTTACTTATGAGAAGATTTAGAATAAGGTTCAGGTAACGAGAACGGCAAAATTTACCTCTCTCCTTCAACTCTTTAAAACCTTAGATAGATTTAACATTCAAAAGGAAAATAAATAAACTTCCAACACAAATGCAAATATTTGCCATTACTGCATAAAACGCTGAAAGGTGGAGAGAAAAAAAGGCAACTCTTGTCCGTCGCTGTTTGTGTAAAAGTATTTCTCCACCTGTCCGAAACACAAATATCAATACCTCATTGAGATCAGATTCCTGGTATTTGACCAATGCGCAGTGCACCGCCGCGTACTCCATCAGGCTTGCAAAAACGAACACAAAACTCGTGATGACGTACACATCAAGAGCAGTTGCGTACGAAACATTTGGAGTTGCACCTCCTCCATGAAGGTAGTTGCCCATGGCTAGAATGGTGATGACTCCGAGAGAAACACGAGCTGGGGTAGACTCGGGATCAATCCAGAATGAAATCCAACTAAGAAGTACGACTAAAGTTACAGGCAGATAAAACCCATAGACATAAAACATTAGGCGTCTCTTGAATACAAATGTTGCCTCTGGCTCTGAGAAAACTCCTGGAGAGAAAAAGAAATGTGAGTATACTTAATTGATCACTCCCCGAATAAGGCTTCTCAGGGTGTAAGAAAATTGAAACAGGGCGAATAAACGTAAAAAACCCCAACTGGCAGGCGGCAGACAAGTGGGCTGCATAAAAAGTGCGGCTAAAGAGTTGAACACGATAGAACCGTGACAGAGAGTAAGTAGTTGGTACATGGTTAGAATCTGGGGCTACCTCACAGGAAATAAAGAAAACAAAACTACCTTCTAGCTACCAAACACTTATTCGAAAACAGATTAAATTACTGAATTTGGAGACGAATCAAGGTATAAGGCTCTGAGTGCAAAACTTGCTCCACTCGTACTTGCCTAATCACTTTATCCTCTCTTTCATCTACTTGGTCATACAACCGCAGAAAATTTAGGAAGTGAAAAAGATTAAGTCATGATTTGATTTTCACAAGAATTTTATTGAGAAGAGGTAACAACTCCCGCTGCCTATTCAGAGCAAAAAGACAATGTAATTCATCTCAAACCTGTATTGTACACTCCTTTACGATCCTTGCTCACCACACGGTTGAGGTCGTATTGAGGAATCTCCAGCTCTTCGGGAACAATCACTCCTTGGCCGTTTCTCCATCTTACTAAGACGTTATCCTCTGTCTGTGAATCTTATAAGAGTAAGAAACACAAACATTTTTACAATTATTATGTCCTGATGGCCAGAGTACTAGTTATCATCTGTAAGGCCCCCTTTTTCTATACAAAACGTGTTAATTGAACTTTCCGTCCTCATTAGAAAACGGAAACGATGTTTGCTGGTCACACTGCGTTGGCTAAATTTGAGAACGCAACAATTGCCTGGCTATGAGCTTGCACATGGCAAAGGCCTTATTTTTCCACAAAAAAAATATGAAAAGCATTTGTGCTTACAAGAACCAACATAGAAATGACAGGTTTGACGATCCATAGGAAATTCGCGGAAGTTCATTTGACATGCCAGCACGGTTGTAATTCTGTAAGTGGAGATAAATAAAATGCCACCATGTATTTAGTTATCTTTTATTTTTATTTTTGCACAAAGCAAATAAACGAACAACGCATGAAGGAACCTCAAAGTATTCCAGGGGTGAGAATGTTCCACGAGTGAGATGCCACAACACTGTTTGCATAGCTAATAACATGCAGATTTCGAGTGCTAATTTAGTGCTAATAAGCACGAGTAAACTTTTCTAAAACAACAAAATTGCACGAGTCCGTAGGGCGAGTGCAATTTTGCAAGAGAAATTGCAAGAGAAATCATGTTATTTCTTGTTAATAATGTACATAAAAAGCATCACAGAAAGTCAAGACAGACAAAAATTTGGAGAGCGTGCGCGCGCTATTTTTAATTTGCACTCGTGTTACATGACACCCGTTTCCACCCAATCAAAAGCGCTTAGCTTTTTCTTGTACATTATTAGTACTGACCTTGCACTCAGCAGAATACTCCCATCTGGGCTGACGCCAAACAACACATTTTGCGTGGGTACCATGTGAAAACGAGCATCTTTACTGTTCCTGAAATATAGGTCGGGCTGCCAAACGTATTTGCTTAATTCAGGGCTTAGAATAACTCTCTGATTTATTCCCTTGTCTGGCAGTGGTTGATAAGTGAGACGGGAATCTTTCCAGCGTTGTCTAAAGAACATGTCCAAAGAAAATTCCTAGGAGGAGAGGAAAGGTTGTGTTAAGTGATTTCGTCAGCCGGACTTCCATGTGATCCTATGTCGTGTAAATTGCATTTTCGATCATCCTTAAAATTTCCTTTGCCTGTCTTTACTCGTCTAATCCAGCTTCCAAAACGAAGGGTATCGCGGAATCGCGGTAGCTGACTCTGGAATTTATTTCCTTGACTTGTTTTTAGGGATTTTTGGTCAAAATGAAAATGAGAAAGGGCGGGAAAAACCCTTCATTTTTCCTTTCACAATGTTTGGAAAAAGTTTGCTTACCATATCTTTTTCGTCGATAGAGCTCACACTTGAAATGTATGTCTCAATATCGATCACAACTGGACCTCCTGCAAGAAAGAGGAAAGGTAAAGAAATCAACACCGATCTGTAGCCTATTCAAAGCAATATCAGTTTCCCCAGCGCTGTACGTTACATTGTCATTTGCCAAAAGGAGGCGGTTGACCAGACTGTTGACGACTTTTCGCTTTTTATAATGCTTTCTTTGTCATTTACCAAGTCGAAATTCAGACTGATAAAGTACTTAAGTAATTATTACAGTAAATAGAAGAAACTCTCAGAGTTCTGTTCTTTCCCGTTGTCTTCACCCCTCCCTAGCAGCCGCTAAATCTCGGGCGTCATTTTTTTATGCCTTGGTCATTCTCAAAACTGAGACTCTTGAGAAAAATGACTCAAATTATTGTTACCATTAGAATCTTTCATGAGATTCACTCGGATATGTTGCTTACCGGTCACATTCGGTCTCACGGATCCATCATAGTCCTTATTTTTTATCCAAACAAGAAGATCTTCAGCACTTCTATTACAACTTTTCTGGCATCTGATAAAACACACCAATAACAAAATCTTCATCATCATTATCATCATTACTGTAGGAAGGAGATAGTACCATACAGAAAAGAAATCTCTATTTACTAAGTACAGAGAGCTTCTATACACAAACAACCCCATTATGTGTGGCCACTTCATTTCACTAACACGAGAATATAAGGGAGTAATGCCCTTACGATGAGCATCCGATTGGAGGCAGCTTTCCCAGTCTTTACTCGATTAACGTTCAGTTTACCACCCTTTCTGTACCTCTCATTTCGGCTATAAGGAACGATTTCCTGAGCAGGCGGGAAAATCGTTTTTTAGCAGGTGATATATAAAGTAGCTGTCCTCCACCCCCTCCCTTCCCTCCCCCAGGACACAGCCCCGTTGAGTCTTGCTCTGTCCCTTCGATCTCATACTAGCCTATGAAAATATAAGACCTCTACAAACATGACAAATTTTTTTCAAGAGGAACAAAACAATTTGTTCTATCTGAAACGAGCAGGTGGTGCTAATTAACTCCTTTTCCGCCCTCTTACACCTCAACAAAACCACAAAACCGCACTTTTACACGTCGAGGGAATACAGTTATTCGCGATGAACTGACGGTTTTATTGAGCCAAGTGCCAGCATGTTAAAGCCTTTAAGAATTTTAAATGTGAAAATTCTATACTCATAAATGTTTCCACACGTGAGGTTTAGTAAATAAAGCAGAATTGTAGTTTAGGCTCATGCTTCGAAAATATCAGAAGCACAACTATTCTAAAATACCAAACACACTAAGAAAAGCGCATGTCCAAATCGAGATAGGTTAAAGCATTTTTGCTCAGAAGTTTAACTTTCAAAAATTTTTTCATATTCTATAATATGCGTCGCATATATCAAAAAGAAATTATTATTTAGAACGATATTCAACTGCGAACACATGCGTTGATCCGTCTACGAGAAGAATACTGGAAAGGAAAATCTTCCTTTTTTTTTGCTTTTTATTAGCTGTGAAAGCAACGTATTATAGGGGAGCAACAAAACTCGTTGGTAGAGTTTGCTTAGAAAACAGCATTAGCCTTTTGGATGACCTTCTAAAATGTAAACCCTTTTATTTCTAAATTTGTCTCAATGCCCGGCAGCCAGAAAAAGAAATTAGCTGTCCCCCACCCCTGTCCCAGAAGTTGGAAATTTTCACAGAATTTCCCCTGAACAGTTCTTTAAACTTCTTAAGAGTATCAAACGTTTGTTTAGAAAGGTCAAGCGACTCCAAAACTTGCTTTGGTTTTTTAGTGGACGAATTTTTCGAGCTAGTGCAAATCGTATAATTGCTAAGTTTTCGACTCTTGGAAAATATCCCTGGCCTCCCGGGCATTTATTCCATTTTAAGAGCGCGCCAGACTGCGGGGCATTCAGACACTGCGTTTCCTTTTGGGTGCAAGTTCTTCATTTGCATCCATCAGGACTGATTAGTCAGCTTCGTGAAACGTGCGAATGGCAGAAACGCCTGCAGTTCAACTCGCCTATTTCGAATGCTGGTTTAAAAGCACATTGAAATATCGGTTTGAAGTTTGTTGAAAATTGCGGTATTAAACAACCTATTGGAATGGAACACACGAATCGAACGACTAAAAACAAGAGAAGGACACGCGAGGATCAATCATTTAAGGAGCGCGCCTTACGATAGGGCCTTGAGCTCTTGGCACGAACATGTGATAAAACTATCTTGTATTTTAGGATAAACTTGTAGAAATCATTAAAAAGTCAGATTTTTATTGAAACAATTATTCATACGTACCCTTCCACTGCGAGCCGCAGTAAACTGGCTGAGAAGAAACAGATCAAAATAACACCACAAGGAAATTTTCCTCCAAAGTTTATATGCAACTCTGAGTCAAAGCGCATCCTCTAGTGAATGGTTTTTGGGTTTCACTCGAATACCTAGGGAAAATATTAAAACGAGAGGCGTACAGATGACTATAACGTGGAATACGCGTCACGCATACGTACTCATACGCATCAGCTCTCCAAAGGCTCAACTTTAATGGCCATTTTCAAAACACTCTATTCAGAACATATCGATTAAGTATCCGTCTTATCGACAGTACTTTAACTCTTGTTGTTATAAACCTTACGATTTTCGCAGTTATGTATCGGAAGCAATTGTTAATTACAAAAACGATTCTTAAACCCCAACCGACAGATTCGCAGATCGACGAGTATTGAACCTCCTTGACAAAGAAAGAGCAATTGTTGTCGTCTGATCTTGTGCATGATGTATTGTATTTTTAAAACAGAGGTGCAATACTTGCAGAAGAGAGAAGTTCGACGAAAATGTCACTTACTTGCCACCTTCAGAAGCTCTTGCAAATATACTCCAGGGTCAAAGAAAAGCAGGGGTCCTAGTTGTGATTTCGCAACAGATAACCATGCTGGTAACATTAAGAGTGTGAACTGAAACTGTAACTGAATAACAAGCTTCAGAAATTTTTCTTCTTATAAACCCTTGCTAATCCCCTCCTTGCATTCAAGTGCGAAATGTTTGCTAAATAACGTTTTCACACCAGCAGACCTGTCTTAAAATAAATTATATTGCATCGTTTGCGGGAAGTTGTGACATAAAAGGAACCTATCATTTATTTATGCCAAGAAACCGCCAATGTCCCACTTCGAGTCGAAGTCGCGCATCCAGTTATGCCTGACAGCAATGGGACGTAAATAAAGGAGATATTCATGAACTTCATCAACGAATAATGAGAACTAAGAGTTACTGTTATGACTTTGAAGAGAACGGTCAAATTGTTTTTTATGTGCCCAAACAAACTCGCTATAAAGTTTAGCTGTCTACTGTTTACGTAAAAGTAATTTGTTCGAAAATTAGGCGCAGCAAGACTTAAAATAAACTGCAGGTGTTCGGCTGACTCGTAGACAGATTTGACTGAATATATATTTTTAAACCCATTGGCTATGTGTTGCGAAAAACTAAATTGTGCTGTAGTGCTTTGGCTTTCGTGTGGTGGTCGTTATTATACTCTAAAGGATAGGCGTCGGGTCTATAAAGTAATCCTTGATTGTGAGGGTACGTTATATTTTCGGAAAGAAAACAATTCTCATTCGTTAATTTTTCATAGATGTTGCATGAGCGAAAAAAATTAACAACATCACTTGGAGAAAATTGTTGTAGTTTGGTAAACAAGAATTTAGCTGTGTGGAGAACCGAGTATTTTTTAAACATATTTTTATGTCAGATCTGAGGGACACAAATATGTCACAAAACTGACTACAGCCTGATTTAGACTCGTATTATTCAGTTGTAAAATGTTAATTTCTCTAGTTTATTGAAGGCTAATCTGCGGTTATTGATTTGAAGCTAGTGACGCTCGTAACTGGGCTGGCATCTAAAAATATTAGAAGTGGAAAATGACGGGTTGATGGATTTATCTTTAAAAAGTCGTATCTAAGCCCATCCAAAGTGTAATATCCCGTCTATGGATCATTGGTGTTGTTTGAAATTGCCAACTGAATCGAATAGAGGAAGAAGCCTTGATTTATCATTACTTAGGCAAATAGAAATCAGATTTTACTGTAATTGCTTTTTTTAATTGTAATTCAAGGTTTATTTTGAAATTGTGTGACATCCTAAAAAGTATGTTTTCGGTTGTTGTTCATTCAATTCCCATTTGTTTAAGTCTTTTGGAGAATTGTTAATAAGAGTTTTAAATGAGTGGGTGGGTAATTGTAATTCAATGAATTGTTGAAATCCATGGATAGTAAAATAAATTGTTTTGTAGGTGTTAATTAATGTCAAGTAAACGGTTTGTAAATGTTGCGCTGTGAATTGGTTGGTTATTTCTACCAAATTTTTGGAGGACCTATTTTGACATCAGTTTTTTAAAGTGCAATCGAAGTTAATCTTAAATTAACGGTTTCCTTTCCCAGATATAACAAAAGTATTTTGCAAATTATATATAGAATTAAAATTCGTTGAACTTTTATCAACAGGTTTACAAGGTCTTACAGCAAGTGAATAAAAAAATATTTTCCAAGTCGAACATGAAAACATCATGATGGTGTACTCGTTAGTCTAACTG